GGGTGGGGTGGAGGGAGGCCAGGGGCCGCACCTCGCTGGGGATGGAGGGCGGCGCCTTGGTCGGCGGCGCCACGGCCGGCGCCTTGGTTTGCTCATCCACGGGCGCTTGAGCGCGCACGCGGAGGCCGACGCGGGCGCGGCGCGTGCCTGCTGGCGCGACAGGGGGACAGGTGGCGCGGCGTGAGGCGCACAAAAACGGGAGGCGAAGGGATTGGTGGGGGGGCGGCGCCGTGCGAGGGCTTGGCAGGAGGCGTGGATGAAGGATGTGATCTGTTTTGCATACATACAGAGGCGCGATGTGAGGCAGCTACGGCGCGCGATGAGGAGGAGCAGCACGCGCGATGACGTGGCATGTCAGGCTGCAGCGCACCTGCGGCAGGCGCAGCTAGCACACGCCGGCCCGCGGCCGTTGCTGTGCTGCGCGCATGGAGCGTTGTATGTCTTTGTCCCAGCATCATGCACAACTGGGGTGCGCCCTGCTGTGGTTTCGAGAGATGATCTGTCGCGACGAGTTGTAGGTTGACAGGTGCCGTATATCATCACTTTCGTACGATACTCAAACGTTTGCGTGAAACTCAGCAGCGACTATCAAGTCATGATTTTGAGCTCTGATGCACAACTCATCGCACCGTCCCCGCCAAGGGAGACACTCAGGTGTCCCACTCAGAAATTCGCGTTCATCGTTTCTGTAATTTTACAATGGTGATGGGGAAGGACAGCCGGCGATCACAGTCAAGCCGACCCCCCGCTCTAAGCACTCGGGCAGGGAAGAAACACGCGCATTTGTAATCAAGTAGGTTAGAAACTTGGTTGTAGTACAAATGCGCCTTGGCGGCATGATAGGGGCGGAGAGTGAGGCAGCGGTCAACGGTCAACTTTCCCATGCGTCACCGGCATTGTTGTTTTCGCCCCTTCAGCTTGCGAGCTCACGCAGCAGTCTGTCTTGCAGTGTGCGCAGCCATCACATGACAGTGCAATATGACGCATGCAGGACGTTCCGTTGAACTCTGCAGGGCAGCAGCGGGTACTCGCCCCTGCCCGCCAGTAGTGCTGGGCGACGGCCAGCCGCCCAACACCTGTGCCTCTCGCGCAGCTACAGCTCGACGCAGCTGCCCAGCCCGCACCCCTGGGAAACAGTTCATGCAAAGCTGGCCTGCAAGCCTGCTATTGCAACTGGCCTGCAAGCCTGCTATTGCAAGGGGGCCTTGCCATTTGGCGCTGCCCGCCGTCATGGCGGGGGGTGCCTGAAACACTGGTGACGGTTTCATGGGCTGTAGGCAGCAGGAGACCCCGGGGGTCGAATGCCCCGCACGAACCAGGTGCCACGCATGCGCTGCCAGCAACCGACCGGCCCTGCGCCAGACGCCCGCTCACGCCTATCACCTTCAATGCTGCTGCACAAACTTCACTCCGGCGGCAGCTGCGTGAGCACGCCACTCGCCCGCCTTCGATTTGCCCGCCATCCTGATTTGCCTGCCTCCGCATGCTTGACCTGGCCGGAAATGCAGGCGAGGTGCGCGCCGTGATGCCAGCCATCGCTCATCGCTGGGGCTGCCGCGTGGGCGGCTGGACGGCCAGCAGCTAGCCAACCTGTCTCGCTTCCCGGGCAGCAAGAGCCCCTCAAGGGCGTGGCCCTTCGTCCCCTGTATTTTTTCGTCCCCCGACGCGTTTGAGGGGCGGTCAGACATACGCGGTTGCTGAGGCGGGAACTGCGCCCGTCATACGCTGGTACGTGCGCGACGGCACCAGGCTCGAAGCTACATCGTGTTACAAAGCGTCACCCCTGCGGCCCAGAGCAAGCCGCCGACGCCCGCATCGCTCCCGCCGGGCACGCTGCAGCGCAGCTGCCAGGCGCCGCATGCGCGCGCGGCGCAGCTGAGCGTCCCGCACGCGCAGCGCTGCCCCATGGTGACGGGCGAGTGCCCCTGGACAAGCAAGCGCGCCATCGGCAGAGCCTAGGCCGGGGCCGGGGCCTGCTGCGCTGCAAAGCGACGCAATCGCGCCTTAAGGGTGTCAGCCTGGGAGGCGCAAAAACGCACTGACCAAATTCATCGCACCCCTGCAGAAAGATCCCCCTTTGTGCCATTCCCATGTGCAGAACCCACACAAAGGCGACGAGGCGCGGCCGATAGGTACAGATGCGGGGCGCGCGGGCGCCCCGCGGCCGCCGCTGCTCGCCTGCTCAACGCGGTGCGCCGGGCGCGCGCGTGTGCAGGCAGCTTTGGCGGCCAGCAAGATGAGCATACCCATATCTTAGACAAGGCGGAGGTGGTTCGGGGTGGGGTGGGGTGGTGGCGAAGGGTAGGGTGGGGTCGGTTCCACTGAGTGAGGAGGAAGAAGGGCGGCGTCGACCATGTTGGAGAAAAAGAGAGGGCGCAACCCGACCCCGCCGCCCCCAAGAGCCCGACCAGCAGTCGCACGACCGCGTGGCGGCCCCAAGGCAGGGGGCGGCGGGGGGCGGGCCCGGGGACGAATACTAATGTGCATGAGAGTGTGTGCGGGATCTAATCGACGGCAACGACGGATTGCATGGGCTCCCCACGCGTCGGCTGGCGGTCGAAGGACAAACAGGCAGAGAGTATGTGTATAAGCACCGGCGCGGCGCCGCTCCGCGCCGCGCCGCCCGCGCGGTAAGGCTGGCAGGGGACAAGTCGGCAGCCGAGGCGGATGCATCGACAGACGAGGGCAACGCAAGTGCTGATGGTGAGGGGGCGGGGATGGCTGCGAAGGGCCGGGTCCCGGCCTCGGATAGTGGGAACAACATAGATCGCAGATGCCCATCGCGCCCGTTGAACGGAGCGAGGCATCGCCGCAAAAAAAAACTGCCAAAAGCACACAGCATCTGTAATGTGTGTGGCCCGGCAGTGGGGCAGTGGTGCGGACGAATCGGCCCGAACGGCAGGCGTCATGACGGCAGTACGGTGTTTTGCGGCCACGGGAGCAAGCCACGGCTCCCAGGGTGCGCGGCGCGCGGCCCCGCGCGGACAGACGGTGGGCGCGCGCAATGCGAGGCGAGGTGGGAGCAGCGGCGGCGAGCGGTGGCCGCCATTTTCACGCCCACGCAAGCCCTCATGCACATGCACACCATACACACTATTCGCATGCACGTCATGTGCGCGCGTGATGCACGTGCAGGGGGTGCACTCGCGTTCCGGTTTGGCGCCGGCGGCTGTTCTTCGGCACGCCGGTTTTGAGAGTTGAGGCGTTCACGAGCCCGCGCAGGGGCCCCCGGCGAACAATACATACATAGGCGTGGCAAGAGGCGCACAGCCCCGCCGTACGCACGACTCCAGCAAACGTCGGCGGTGCTCAGCCTGCCGGCCGGCCGGGTGAACACACAGTCACACACACGCGCCCGCGCGCGCGCAGACGCGCGCTCAGTTGTGCAGCAGGCGGAATTGGCTGGCATGGGTGACGATCAGCCACATGCCGCTGACCGCGCCCAGGACGCCGCAGATGCCGGTCACAATGACGAGCAGCACGTTGATGCTCCACTCGAAGCCGAAGCGGCGCGGCTTCCGCACGTAGAGCCAGAGCAGCGGGGGCAGCAGGAAGGTGGTGGGGGTTATGGCCACGGCGCCGATGAGCGCCATCAGATCAGTGAAGAAGGGGATGAGGATGGCCACCAGGGTGACGAGGCCGACGTAGATCGTCCGCAGGACCAGGCGGGACGCCCTGCGGCGTTTTTGATTTGGGGCGAATGGCAGGGGTCACGGGGGCGATCAGGGGTCGGGCGTGAAGGCTCAGGGGGTTGAGGGAGAGGCGTGCGGCTGCTTTTTGATATTGGGGGCGGCGCAGGGCGCGAGGGGGGGGAGCGGGGGGCAGGGGCGCTGCGCCGCAGTTTCGCGGGCGGACACGTCGCCGCGGCCAAAAAAGGCTTATCCCCTGCACTCTGCAAACCGCTGCCACAGCGCCGGCTCTGGGGCCATCCGTCCCCTTGCGGGATTTGTTCCACCCAGGTGCTTCGTTCCCTGGGCTGTGTGTGCGGGCTGCAGTGGAGTCCCCCCCCTCACCAGCTGCCGTAGGAGAATGCGGTGCAGCCCCTCTTGGTGCCAAAGAATGTCTCGATCCAGTCAAACACGGGGTGGGAGTACACCTGGGTTGTGTGGTTTGGGTGAGGGTATCATTGAATGAGTATCATTGAGAGCCCCGAAACACGACACGGACACGAGGACGCCAGCACAAAGGCGACAGGCCGTGCACGCGCCGGCACCACCGCGCCGCGCCCCGGGTCAGCGCCCGTGGGCTGGAACAGCGGCCCCAGGCTGCGCCCCCAGAGCACTGCCCCGACGCCGTGCCGCCTGCCCAGCCCAACTCCCCACCACAACATACGCACAAGCACACGCGCACGCGCACACACATAACACACACACCCTCCCCCCAAAAAGACCCCCAGGGCCGCGCACCCCACCTGGTAGGCGGCCAGCACGAGGATGACAACAAAAACACCAATACGCTGGACAACGACCCAAAGCAAATTCGGCACAATCGTGCACGCCACGACGTCCAACTCGACCATGCGCAAACCAGCACACACGCCGCCGCGCCTGCGGGCCCCGCTCCCCTTCCGACCACCCCCCTCCCCCCAAAGGCCCTCAATACCCCAGGGCATTGCCCACCTGATAGGCCGCCAGCACATGAATGACGACGAAGATCCTCGCCATGTTGCGCACCCACATGGGGCCGTTACTAAGCGACAGGATGATGTTGGACCCCGTGTCGTGGCCGAGCGCCGCAAAGCCGCTGATCGCGACGGAAAAGTAGAGGATGCCGGTGATTACGAAGGCCGCGTTGACGCCCCGCATCATGCGCTTGATCGTGGGGGGGTTGGGGAGGGT